CATCCCTATAGAGGACTCTTACACAGACATCAGACAGAATAGTGTGAATGACATAGTCTAACATGCTATTATTTCAAAGGGGTGATACAGAAAAGGCTATATGGAAGAAATGGCAGCTAAGCTGGATTCTGAAAGATAAATAGGTATGTAATAAGTAGGAAAAAGGACGGTGTCTAAGCAGAGAGAAAAAATGGCAGGCCCAGAGTTTTTTTTTTTTTTTTTAATTTTTAAATTGATTTTTTACAGAGAGGAAAGAGAGGGTTAGAGAGTTAGAAACATCGACCAGCTGCCTCCTGGTACATGCCTTTGACTGGAATCAAACCTGGGACCCTTCAGTCTCCAGGCCGATGCTCTATCCACTGAGCCAATCCAGTTAGGGCCAGAGGTTTATTTTTAAAACAGTGAGGATCCATCCGTTTAGGTGAGGGAGATGATGTGGATAAAGAGTAATGGAGCCCTGGCCAGATGGCCTGGTTGGTTGGCGCATTGTCTCGTAAACCAAAAGGATGCAGATTCGATTCCCAGTCAGGCCACATACCTAGGCTGCAGGTTTGATCCCCAGTCACAGTATTTATGGGAGGCAACTTATCGCTGTTTCTCTCTCTCTGTCTCCCTCCCTCTCTAAAATCAATAAACATATCCTCAGATGAAGAGTAAATAATAAGCGATGGACGGAGGACAAAACTGGAGAGGAGGTGGTGGCCACGTGGCAGCTGTCTCCTCTTCACCACCATCACCAATGCACACTTGTGTGGGACTCTGCAAGAGGCAGGAGCACCATGCAGGCCATGTGATGGCAGGTGGTGCTAGGGGCATCGGGGGCTAACGGTCCTACTGGAACAAGAAGCTAATCAGAATGAGGCAACTCAGAGGACAATTTTAATATTGTAGATCTAATATGTCATCACAGGGAACATGGAGTAAAATTGTTAATCCATTAAATAGCATTTTTAAAAGATTAAACTGCTCAGTGTAGGAACATTATATCAATTTGTTGAAGTTCTGCTTCCCAGCATATGTCGACAGTTTGGCTCAAATAAACTCACACAAAAACAAATAAACAAACTGCTCAGTGTTATGAGGAATAAACAGGAATGGGGGAGATGAAAGACCATTAATGAGATGAAGTAATAGGGCCCAGTCTGAGATGGCACCTTTGGGACTGGAAAGAAAATGCTCAGAGAGCTAGGAAATGCCACGTTTACACTCTGACTCCTCAGAAAGGACAGACTTGAGACAAGTTGCTACTGCAGCAGATGATTGGTAGGCTGCCTCCTGGTTTGAGAGAATTCTTGACTGGTATTCAGACTCAGTAGGAAATTAACCCATATTAGATTAATGTTGCCACAGGCCAAGGAGAAAGCAGGGGGGGAGGAACATCCTACCCAGTTGCCATCTTTGTGCTGACAATCAGAGGAAGGAAGACGTGTGTTTGAAATGAAGCAGTCAACTAAATACAGCCAACTGAAAATGAAGTCATGGGGATTCAATTAGAGGCATTTCAATGGAGATGCTTCATATTAAGGAATGTCATAAGTGCTTGTTGAATTAATGAAAATAATGATTTCAATTTTATCTGTAACATTTGTTGGCCCTCTGAGTTATATATCTCCTATATAATAAAGAGGTAATATGCAAATTGATAGTCACTCCACACAATATGGCTGCCCCCATGTGGTCAACGATAGCTGCCACAAGATGGCTGACAGCAGAGGGCAGTTGGGGATAACCAGGTTGACAAGGAGGGTAGTTAGGGGTGACCGGGCCAGCAGGGGAGGGCAGTTGGGGGTGACCAGTCTGGCAGAGGAGTGTTTAGGGGTGATCAGGCTGGCAGGCAGAAACAGTAAGGGGCAATCAGGCAGGTGAGCGGTTGGCAGCCAGCAGTCCTGGATTGTGAGAGGACAGTCAGACATCCTCGGGGGGTCCCAGACTGGAGAGGGTGCAGGCTTGGCTGAGGGACACTCTCCCTCTCCCTGTGCATAAATTTTGTACACTGGGCTTCTAGTGTACAATAATTATAATGAGTTTTTACTAATTCAAACAATCGACTGGGCTTTTTTCAGCATCAGTGGGCTATGGAAAAAAAATCATGGCTTGTGTCACAATATATCTTCTACATTTTACTACAGATGTGATGAAAATTAATGCCCATTGAAAACTGCAATTAAGAAAAAAAATTGTAATTTAGCAGCTGTATTAATCCTTTCTTACAGGTATTTAAACACCTACTATGTGCCAGGCTAAGCACTGGGTACACATGCTCTTTCTTGAGATTCTTCAAGTTTGGAGCACTTTCCTATCATGTTAATGAAGGCAGCAGCATAACTCAGACCTGGAGATTGTGCCAGCACCTATGTATCAGTCAGATGGCCCTGCAAACTTGTGAGTCCACTGAGACTTCAGAAACAAGAGAATAAAACAAAAATTAAGGGAGAAAAAAACTTCCTTTTAAGAAAATAGAGGTACTTGTTTTCATAAAGAAAAATGTTTCTTTACTAGGGAAAAACAACAACAACAAATAAAACAGTTTCATGAATCCAACAGAAAAGGTTCATAGCCCTGGCTGGTGTGGCTCAGTGGTAGAGCATCAGCACTCACACCAAAGGGTCTCAGGTTCAATTCTTGGTAAAGAATGGGGCGTTTGCAGGAGGCAACCAATTGATGTATCTCATATTAATGTTTCTACACCCACCACCTCCAAATTTCTCTTAAAAAAATATCCTTGGATGAGGAATAACAACAAAAAGTTATCCTGGAAATAATAACTACAATTAATAACGTATTAAAAAAGAAATCTGACTTTTGAAAGTTAAGGCAGATGCAATACATGTTCACAATTACTCTTTATACAATTGCTCTTTATGGGAAAAACCTTGTTTAGGTTTTTGAATTCATGTTAATAAATTAATGACTTTTAAGTAATAAAAGTACTATTTAAAAGCTTAATTTCTAGTAAAATATAACTGCTGGTTTCTTTGTGCCGTTTTCTGCTGGCAGATGAAGTTTCCACCAATAGAAAAAATCCTGAACTTTTGCTTTAACTGGCTATGAAAAACTAAACATCTGATTCAAGACTCACTGACCATATCAACTAACTACATCTAAATGAAAAAGAAAACAATATAATTTGAGAAATACTAATGATTATTTCTCCAATCTAGGCCCTTACTCTGGTTTGGAAAAGACAGACATTAGAAATAATATCCCATTATTTTATGAAAACAAAAAAGCAATTTATTTTTAACCTATTTATATTCACTTACAACACAAGTGCCCTGAGGCCAGCCTCACATCTAATATATAATACAACAGTTTATGTGGCAAAGCAAACTTGCTTCATTTATCTGAACTCCTCTAATCCACATCTGAAGAAACAGACTCAGAACTGAACTCATTTCAAGGAAAGTTGGCTTTTAACTTGTCTCTGTGCCCATACAACTAAGTTGAGCTTTGATTTAGTAACTGTGAAAACACCTTACATTACTGAAACAGTATGTTCATTGTTAGCCCCTTCTGAATCACATGTATGAATGTATGTATATGCACATGTATGTGTATATCAAGCCCTTTAAAAAGTTACACTTAGTTTGCAATAAGGAATGTCAAGATGCAAGAAAAGTTTATAAAATTAAAATTGTATACAAGGGTAAAAACTACAGTCATTACTGCTGAGCACATGGAATAACCACATTACAACTATTTTATTCATAAAACCTCTTACATAGTTACTGTATTTTTCCATTTCTTTTTAAATTGACTGGAAGATCCCAGTTAGTACTGGGGGAGGAGGGGAACGGGACGGGACTAGGATGTGTGTGTGTGTGTGTTGGCATTTGCACCTGGACAGGCTGTCCTGGTCTGCACTCAATAGCCCCACTGCCACACCACTCATGTCCCAGGGCTAGGACTTCATTCTTAAACTTATACTGAAACCTGGAGACCTTTTTCACAAAAACCACTATTAAGCCAGTGCCTTCCCATCTTGTAAGTGTAAAATTAATTATTTCATAAACCTACAAGAAAGGGTTTACATTCATCCCCCTTAGTAAGACAAAGATATGACAAAGAGTGAGGCAGCAACCGTCATAATTAAAAATGGAAAAGCCCAGTTGGTATGGCTCAGTGGTTGAGCTGTCTCCCATACACTAAGAGGTTACTGATTCGATTACTGGGCAGGGCAAATCCCTAGTAGAGGGTATGTGTGGGGCAGCCGTCAGCTCAATGATGTTTCTCTCTTTTGCTTCTTCTCTCTCTAAAAAAAAGAAAAGAAAAAGAAAAAAATTTAATAAAAATATACTTTTTTAAAAAAGTGGAATCTTCCAAAGACAGCAGGGACATAAAAAAATTTAACAACATATTTTAAAAAAAGAGTATAGTAAAAAATAATTAAACAATAAAATCAGAGAGATGAAAAGTTATTTGATACAGACATAGCACTATGTTTTAGAAACTTTTCTCCATTAGTTCTCCCAAACACTATTAAAGTTCACAGTAGGGAAAACAACATACCTGTCTCAGAAATAGATACTTCCTGTGTAACATATTACTTGAATTATAAGGTAATCTAGAAGGAATATTCTATGCACCTCCTGCGGTAGGGTGAGTGGAGGAGAAATGCTATCCATTTCTGGGCCTTTACAGGACAAACAGCCCTATGACCCTCAATGGAGAGCAGTTCTCAGGTCAAAGTTCCTGAAAGGCCCAGCCTGTGGCCTGTGAGGGACAAAGCCTGTTCTTTCTATGAAAGAATCTTCTGTGTATAGAATGTAATAGTGAGAAGATATAAAGGAAAAAACACATAAAGAAATGATATCCTTAATGCCTAAAAAGCGCCAGAGAAGAGTTTCTGGAGGCGATGGCTACATACGTGTTGTGACCCGTCTTTGAAAAGCCACACGAGGTTCTCTCTGGGAGTCTAGTGAACAAAGACACTGCACACACCTGCAGTTCACACGTGGAGAAGCGTAGGCCCAACTGCAGTTCCGTTAGATAGTACTTACATTTAAAGCAGCTTCTCCACACTTTTCAATTGCTGCAAGACCCTGATTATGAATATGTGTCTCCAAAAGTTTTTTCAATTCTCCTAGGCCGTCCTGGATTCGAGATACCAGATTATACATGCGACCCAAATCTGAAAGAAGAAGGCACACCTTTATGCACCGAGGCAAACTCTGCATATCCACCCCACTAAGTATGTGTTTATACAGAGATGTACAATACCCTGAAATAAGATAGCCATATTTTAGACTTAATTACAATAAAATATTTTGTATTTAACATATGCATATTTAGCTAGCAGTAACAATGAAGTCATGCTTTTATAAGAGTTTTATTTCCCCCTTACCATAAGAATCCACTAACATAATAAAAAAAATCTTTTTGTCAGGGAACATCTGATGCTTCCTAAGCACTGAAATAAAATTTATGCCTAGCACATAATAGGCACTCACACATTGGTTGTACAAAATGAATAACTTAAGGAGATACAAATATTCATCTCAACTATATAAACAAATGGGTCACAAAAGGGCCCCCAAATTCCTCATTTATTATATGTATGGCATATGGTTAGTTTATGACAGCCACAGAAGAAAAATCCAAAATCCCCAAATCAATCTTTTACTGAGCTCTTAACATATCCCAGTAAAATGGAAGGGATAAGAAAAAGGCAGAACAATCAATCACCTTTTCATCTTGAAGAATTTTCAAAAGAAAAATATTCAAGAAGAAATTGGGGGTGATATCATTTAATGCTAAAGTTGTAGAACAAGCATATTTCAAATTAAACATGAAAAGATGCTCTTCCCCAAGTCATACCCAAAACACTCACCAGAGGACCAAAATCAATACACAAAAAGATAAACACTCATACAATCATCTTTTTTAAAACCGACTGATGGTTGTAACGATTTAACTCTGAGTCAAGAATTCCATTTTCAAAACCACAGATTGTAATAAGCATCTACAGGTCTGGAGTCACAGAGGCTCACCTTCATTTTTGTCAGCATCCAGCAAGTTCTGAAACTCTGTGTGGAAAATCTCCAGGTGCTTCTCGATGAGCACCTGCTCGCACTTCCTTGCTAGCTCGTCCTGAGTGCTTTCGTGAAGGTAGACCTGCACTCTCCGTTGTTCCTCGAGCAGACGGGCCTCTGCCTGGAGGAGTTAGTTCAAGTGAAAGGTCTGATTTCTTTTTTATTTTAAACTATTACATGAAAAGGGCAAATTAAAACTCACAAACATATTCTAATAAAATACTATCTAAAAAAAGGGGAGGGAGGGCCCCGAAGGTACTTTGATTTTAGGATGAATCCCAGCCATATTTAAGGGGTCACTGATGTGTTCCATTTTCTCTGTATTATAACATTTCCCCTTCAAACACCTCTTTTAATGACTTAATGAGATTATAATGATCCATTTTCTTCCTCTTACGTGTGGCATTTCACTTTTGGAGGTAAACCTCTATTTGGGTTTACTGAGAAACCTATATGCTTCCTATATGTAGAACACCAAGAACCACTACTTTTGACTGGAAGCTACTTGCAGTAGAAATGACCACATGGAAATAATTAGTAATAACATATATATTTTTAAATTTTAAGAAAAACATTATGGCCAACCTCTAGCCAATCATTAAATTTATGAACCACTGAAATCTACTGAATTACTTATGAATCTCAATTTCTCATATTGCCCTTCAAAAAGAAAAACACAAAGATACAATTTAACAGAATAGCAAAATTAATCAAAGTAATAAATTTTACAATACACCACACCAAAAATATGTGTGTTGTAAGGTTTCACAGAGGAACTACTAAATTACCAAAGCAAAAAGGATATTTTAATGAAAACTTAAAATTATTCAGGTGACGTGACCTGAAATAAGAGAGGCAAAAACTATATTTTGTACTATAAGAATGCCAATACTCTCCAAATGATTTTTAAATATGGCATAATTTTGGACAACTCTGGAAAAATTCAACTGGAAGAATAAACACCCGAGAGCAAAAAAACCCCCATAAAATAAAATAAAAACAATAGATAGTAATAAAGAGGAAACCGTTTAAACTACAGAAGTTAGATCCATGTACATTCTAAATAGTTAATTGTGAACAATAAACTTGAAAAGTATCTGTAGTATGTATCAAAGGTCAATATTCTTAATATATCCTTAATGTATAATGATCTCTGAAAAAGATCATTATATCTAAATGCTTCCCACCTAAAAAAAAATCAATGAGTATAGCCAAATAAAACATGGGAAAGAAAAAGGAAGAAACAATTTACAAATGAAATAAAAAAAAAACTTCAAGTTTTTAATAAGAGGTAATTAAATTATAGCATATTTGGTTAACGAAATACTATTTTTCAGTAAAATAAACATAAAGGTAATACTAATATAACAGATCATTATTGAAAAAAAGAGGTTACAAAAAACCTGAGAGCCAGGACCGGTTTGGCTCAATGGATAGAGCTTCGGCTTGGGGACTGAAGGGTCCCGGGTTTGATTCCGGTCAAGGGCATGTACCTTGATTGTGGGCATATCCCCAGTGGGGGGTGTGCAAGAGGCAGCTGATTGATGACTCTCATCGATGTTTCTAACTCTCTATCTCTCTCCCTTCCTCTCTGTACAAAATCAATAAAATATATTAAAAACAAAACGAAACAAAAAAACCTGAGAGCATTATCCCAATTTGATTTAGTATTCATATTTAGTAATAGTGTCCTAGGCTTATACGTTTGTTTTACTTATACAATATCTCCCAGAAAGTCTATAGTTAATGTGTATTTTTTCTGATTACAAAGTTATTAAAAAAAAAAAAAAAAAAAGTAAGAGATCTTTATGTGCTTGAATTCAGAAGTTCTACATCAAGAACCTACTGCCTCCTATCTAATGTTTCATTAGGCCGATACATGAAGAGCTAAAGTTGATGAAATATAGGACATGTAAATCCCAAAGTGCCACTTTTTCTGTTTTAAATTAAACCATTTCCAGGAAAAACCACCACTTTGGGCAGCAAAAATCCATCTCTTAAAAACTTTGCCTTCTCTAGCAGCAACCTTTTATCCTTTCCCAAACAGGGCTGATTTATTTTGGGGGCATAGGCTCCCCACCTCTTGGTCTACAAAGTGGAAGGATTCTTCTATAGGTCCTTCCTGCAGCAGCCCACAGGGAAGGGAACCATAACTGGTACCTAAGGGGCCGCAGCAATCACTTACTTTATACACAACTAAAGAAACTAAGGGCCTAGGTGTTCTATTGTTGTAGTATTAGGTTTTAGGCAGGACATTCTTTGTTGATTTTTAAGTTAAGCTCTTGATTGTGACTATACTTGGAGGAAAGTATATTAGAACACCAAGATCAAATTCAAAATGACTAAATATAACTATCCTGTCCCTAATAATTCTATTAGAATCAGTTTGCAGTAGAAAAAACAACAAAAAGGTTGAAACAATTTTCAACCCATGTGCTGTAAAATTTAAAAAACATGCAATACTTGCCCACTGGCATAGCTCATTGGTTTGAGCGTCAACCTATGAACCAGGAGGCCACAGTTCAATTACCGGTCAGAGGACATGCCTAGGTTGCAGGCTCGACCCCAGTGGGGGTGTATGCAGGGCAGGAAGCAGCCTATCAGTGATTCTCATCATTGATGTTTCTATCTCCCTCTCCCTTTCCCTTCCTCTCTGAAATCAATAAAAATATATTTAAATAAACCAACCAACAAACAAAAAACAACACGCAATACTTGACTATTTAGTCAAGGAGACCAATCTCTTTTCTCTTTGACTGTCAAATTTTAAAAAATGACAACAACCAACACAAAGATAACTGCCTGAAATTATACCTATTTTATTGTGTCAGATCAGCAAAAAAAGTATTTTTTGGCATCCTGCAGAATTTTAATAATTAGTACACGTGTGCAATGAGATGAAAAAGGTTGAATAATTTTTGAAAATGACATTAGAAACCTAGAGTAGTCAGAGATATTTTTGTAGCTCAGATTAGTCTCAATGGCAAGACTGCAAGATACATTAAAATACTGATGTGGCACCCTAGCCGGTTTGTCTCAATGTATAGAATGTTGGCCTGTGGACTGAAGGGTCCCAGATTCAATTCTGGTCTAGGGCACATGCCTGGGTTGCGGGCTTGATCCCCAATAGGGGGAGTGCAGGAGATAGCCGATCAATGATTTTCTTATCATCACTGATGTTTCTCTCTCTCTCCTTCTCCCTTTCTCTCTCTTCAATCCACAGTTTGATGCTCTATCCACTGAGCCAAGTTGGCTAGGGCCCATGCCTAATTTATATATATTTTACATATATATAAATAAAATACTGATATGGCTCAGGGTTGCTCCTTTATTGAAGACCTTCCACACAGAAAGGGGACAGAGACCCCCAGAGTATGTGGGCATGCAGTCCAATTTGGCTGCTGAAAGCAGAATACGAATTTCTCGATATTCATGCTTTATCTCAGTATTGTTCATTAGTTTTATATTCTATTTCCTGGTAGCACGTTGTAATAAAAACATAATTCCACCTTAAGTCACTGAATCGACCACTTTTTATCTCGTGGTATTGCACACATCCAGACATATGGAGATTTTGATCAATGCACAGGTATAGTTACAATCACATCATGCTTTGCTGTTTGCCAAATATAACATGTTTATCTGCAATAGCTTATTATTCCCATTTTAAGGATGAAGAATCTGAGAAACAGAAGATTAAGGTCAATCCCCTAATAAATGGTTGAGTGGGGATTTAAAACTAGACTTATAGCGCACTTTTGAGACACAAGGTTATGTGTAGGTAAGAGCAGGACTGTTTGCACAGTAGTTAATTCCAACTTATCGCTCACAGATTCTATGCATAAGGACTTCTTGAATGTGATGAAAATCAGGTTTGATAAGATCTAATCGATTTAGACCAAATCTTTAACCCTTTAGAAAGAAATCCACTCTAAGAAAACCTGGAAGGCAGGCCCATACTAGGTTGAAACACCCAGGCCATTACAAATCTTTGCTCTTCACGTTGCCATTGGTTCCATGCCTAATTTTATTCTATTTTTTAAATTATATTTAAAAATATATATTTCTTTATTGATTGAAGGGAGGAGAGAAACATCAATGATGAGAGAGAATTATTGATCGGCTGCCTCATGCACACCCCCACTGGGGATTAAGCCTGCAATCCAGGCATGTGCCACTGGCTGGAATCGAACCTGGGATCCTTCAATCCACAGGCTGATGCTCTATCCACTGAGCCAAGCTGGCTGGGGCCCATGCCTAATTTTAAAAATGAACTGCTGCCTTAGCCAGTCCAGCTCAGTGGATAGAGCGTTGGCCTGCGAACTGAAGGGTCCCGGGTTCGATTCTGGTCAAGGCATGTACCTTGGTTGCAAGCCTGCTCCCTGGCCCTGGTCAGGTGTGTATGGGAGGCAACCAATCAATGTGCCTCTCTCACACCGATATTTCTCTGTCTGTGTCTATTCCTCTCCCTTCCACTCTCTCCAAAAAAAACCAATGAAAGAATATCCTCAGGTAAGGATTAACAAAGGCCCTGCTTGGGGCATGCTTATGGTCTAAAAAGCCGATTTCCTTGCATCAGGATTCTATACTTCTCCTCAGGGCGGTGCTGGTAGGACCTCGGTCCACGTCAAAGTTCATGGAAAGAACAGGGCTCACCCGCTGCTGGGGATGTGTGAGTAATAAATAAATGGCCCCATTTTTAAAACATGCACCATTTAAAAAGACTCACCATAAAGAGGGGAGTTCTGTAAAAGATTTATTTATAAAAACTACTCTGCCAAAATAAAACGAAGTAACAGGCAATGCTCAGATTCAAAACAGATTATGTTTCAAAAGTCCATTTGCAAGCAGCTGTTTGAAACTCTGGACAAGCTGGTTAGATTCCAGGTCAGCATACAAAATCTGACTTAACCCACAAATATAAACAAAGAACTATTACAATTCCAAATACAATACTTTTGAAGAATTCTGTTTTTGTTAGGTTGTGAGATATCAGAAATTTGTTAAGGACTTTCAATGTCAGACTTCTAAGGCCTACATATAATCACAACCCTATAGGAAATACATGGAGAATATCACAAACTAGTGGGCAGGGCTTCATGAGGGAGCTTCTTCTGGTCTTATTAAGCTGCCTTACCAGCTTTCTATCTGTTTGCAGAAAAATTGCATCTGTAGTCCACATGCTCTCCCAGGAAAAGAGCACCAGGGGCAAGCACACAGCAGACACTGTGGGCCTCTGATTCCCTGGAAATCTCCTTGTACATCTTGTACGTATTGGTGGAGCCAAACTCTGCCCTTAAGTAAAGTCTGATTGGAACACAGCCACACCCATCAGTGTAGAAGTTGTCATGGTTGCTTTTCCACCACAGTATCAGAGCTGAACAGCTGCATGGAGACCACAAGTTGCACGAAGTCTAAAACATTGACTATGTGGCCCTTTGCAGAAAGTTCACTAACTCTGGACCTGGGTTACTTCTTACAATATCAATTTAAGATACCTGGATCACCCAAAGAGAACAAGGAACAATCACACAAGACCTTCACCATAACCTTACTTGGTACAGAGATGGCTCATGATCCAGGCCCATTCTGACTTCCTGCACAAGAACTGGGTTCCATGGTGTTAGGAGAGTCTCTCCTCTAACATAGACTGAAAGCCGGTGTCGCAAATTATTAGGGGATCTTTAAAAATATATAATTTTTTTATTGATTTCAGAGGGGAAGAGAGAAAGAGACAGAGACAAAGATAGAAACATCAATGATGAGAGAATAATTGATTGGCTGCCTCCTGTACACCCCCTACTGGGGATCGAGCCTGCAACCTGAACATGTGCCCTTGACTGGAATTGAACCCGGGACCCTCTCGTCTACAGGCTGAGGTTCTATCCACTGAGCCAAACAAGCTAGGGCTAGGGGATATTTTATAAACAAAAAAGCGAAGCTTAAAATCTGCAAATTTGACACTATTTGTTTAGAACTTATTTTCTCTCAACTTGGGGAGACTGTGGTTCCCACTAATGTCGAGATACATTCAGGAGAAACAGTGCAAAACATACAAGTCATATAGCTATTATGCTTCTCTCTTTAGAACAGTGAAGACAGCACTGAGTTGTGATTATTAAACTAATTTACAAAGGCTCCTAGGCCAATCAGAAGTGTTTGCACCTGCTATAAACACAGTCACACTGCCAGGAATTGCACATAACATACTAAAGAGAAGAATTCCTCTGACAGCAGTAATTTTCATTGAAGGTATGGTGTTGAAGCTCACCTTTTTCATGTACTCAGTAACTGGATTCTGCTGCAAGAATTCGGTACTCTCTCTGGTATAAAATCTCTCTGTATCAGCCAAAAACTGAGACTCAAAGGATTCTTTATACACTGTTAACGTAGGGCCCTTCGCAAATGCATCATCTTCATTCAGCCCCAATTCCACTACAAAGAAATATGAAGTATATTTCAATTATCTTATTTTTTATATTTTATAGAATATACTTAGGTGTAGCATCCAGTTTAAGTTATGTTTAAAAGGTAAATGTGAAATGGCAGGACAAAAAGTCTGTTATTCACTAGTATTAAAGTACATTGTTTCCATAAAATAAAAAATGAAAAACAATACAAGACATACAAAAGGAAGTAATTCTGACCAATGGCCAGGCATACTTTAAAGTTATCATGAAGCTTCTTTAGAAAACTTTTTATATTTCCTGACAGTGTAGAAATAATAAAAATGACTAATTTTAAATTTTAAAAAATACAATGCTATCCACATTTTAAAAAACAGTGTATTATTTTACTGGTTTTTCCATCTAAATTTTCCAAGTTGATATAAATTTCTGGTTATAATTGAGCTCCATTAATGACACTGTCATATAATATATCCAATAAATTGAGCATGAGTTCAGAAAAGAAAATAATTCAAATGTCGATTGCATCAAATTTTCCTTAAGGTAAAAGGACCAAACAATTTTATGATGGGTAATATCAAATAAAATCACACAGACTACAAGAAAATTATAAGTACCCTTGTAAATGCTACCTGTATTCTTGATAATAAAGTATTTTAAAATGAATCTGTTGGAATACTATTATAACTGACATTTGATATGACAACATTTAATAAATTAAAGGAAAACTGTTTACCATAAGACTGTACAACTCCACTAATCAGTCTTGTATTGATGGTTTCACCATTTCTTTCCTTTTCAATCAGTTTTAAAACAGCATTGGTTACCTTCAGAAAGGACATAGGAAAAAGATGTGTAGATTACAGGCTACAGTATGTATTGTATTATTACATATCTCTTAAACATTTAAATCCATTAAACAATGTGAGATGAGAGATACTCTTGAGATGTTCCAAAAGAGAGAGGAAGACAATGGTTGAGAAATTAAATCTTTTAGAAGGAAAGCAGCATACACTCAAACAGTACCTGTTTGTTCAAGGGCCTGAATAGACAATCTCTCCAAGTCACCAATGCGAGCTGGATGAAAAGAAAAAGGAAATGTGTAAAATGTGTGTACTTTCACTGTGTTTTTCTAAGACTGAAGTCACAGGAATCAGCTGGGACCCCAGGTCATACTAGATTATAACTCAGTAACTCTGGCATCACGATGAAATCAGAGCCTCTGAGTTAGGAGTTCCAAGAAGCATCACAACACAGCACACACTTTAGAAAAAAATTGAGATTAAGGAGAACATACATATCAGTTTAAAGGACACCTGTAAAGCAATCTATAACATTCCCTGGGCCAAATTTAAGTTTTGACCTAACAACACACTTAATGAAGATAATTTTTAAAACTTAAAAAAATTCCCACATTTTTATCAGAAAATATTATATCAGAAAGTTACTATACAAAGGCTCCAAAAAGTTATAATTCATGAATGAATTTTAAACTGTTTGTTGAGAGAGGTATTATTCAGCTAAAATAATATTCACATTTAAAACATTGTAACGCTCATTTACACTGTTGAGAAACTCACTTAAGCATAAATGTTATCAGTCTTATTTTTTCCAAATACAACCAAAGATAAAACTGGGTTTATTTAAGACAGCTTTCTGAATTAAATAAAAATTTAATTTGTATTCTGAACTTTCAGAGTGATACACACACACACACACACACACACACACACACCTAAAAGTGCCATTTAAGATAAAAGTATCTTATACAATAAAGATGTAATATGTAAATGATCATTACACTGTGAAGGGTAAAGACCGACTGCGTAACGACTGGATCACGAGTCAGCAGGAGGGTGGGGTAGCAAGCTCCAAGTGGGCGGCCAAGAGCTATAGGAGGGGATAGGACAGCAAGCTATGAGGGGGTGGTGCTCAGAGGGAGCTACAGGAGGGCAGAAGCAAGCTACTGGCTACAAGCAGGCAGCAGAGCGCTACAGGAAGGGGCAAGGCAGCAAGCTATGAAGGGGGGAACAGGGGAGAGACAGGATTAGGGCGGGGCAGTGGCAGAGAGCAACTGGAGGGCAGCAGCGAGCTACTGGCACACGAATTCCTGCGCAGGGCTATTAGTCCTATCTAATAAAAGAGCAATATGCAAATTGACTGTACCACCACTATGTTCATAGCCATGCCCACCAGCCAATCAGAAGCGAGTATGCAAATTAACCCGACCAATATGGCTACAGCTATGGAGCATGGAGTGAGCAAGAGGCTTGGATTTGCTGGCAATGGAGGAAGCCAAGCTTCCCGCACTCTCTGGCCAGCCATGGACTCCACTCAAGGCTACAAACTTTCAATTATAGAAGATAAATAAATCCCAACAAAAATGGATGCGGCCATGTAGCGAGCAGAAGGTTTGGGTTTCCCTGGCGATGGAGAAAGCCAAACCTCCTGGCCTGCCCTCACCTCCATTCAAGGCTACACAGATACCAAGGCCTCTGTTTGGGTCGCCGGGGGGTGGAAGGGATGGAAGGGGGAGGGGTTGGTGGCGTGGCTGGTCAGCAAACCACTACAGGCCCCTCGCCCAGGCAGCCACATGCCCCAAGGGAACTCCCACCCTGATCTGGGACATCCTACATAGCAAACCAGCCAGCTCCCACCCGTGCACCAGGCCTAGTAGAGTCGGGCCTAAATGGGCAGTAAGACATTCCTCGAGGGGTCCCAGATTGGAGAGGTGCAGGTTGGGCTGAGGAACACATATCCCCATACACAAACCTCGTGTACCAGGCCTCTAGTTTTTAATAAAGCATGAGTAACATGTACTCTAGTGTTCTTCTCTGATCAGAGAATAAGGCCACCAGTGGGCAGTGGGGAAAATGCAATGTGATGGCTGAGAATTTATAGGAAAGATATACTACACCTTTAAAAATAACTTTTTCCAAGCATTTTTTTTTTTTCTAAGTTACTACTAAGACAGCCTTAGAGAGAAGGGAGAAAGGAAGAAGGACCAGGCAGCTAAGAAAGCAGGACCAGCACAAACCAGAGGAGACTCAGAGGAACCAACTTGGGGGAAATGCTTGCTGGATCACTTCAATATGTCAGTAACAAATTTTAATTTATTTCCATGGTTGACTTATAAGGAAGCCAAGAACTTCCCCCCCACCCCATATGCAGTTTATGAAACCAACAACTTCTTATAATTAAAAAGGAAAAAAAGAATTATTAGGAAAAGAGTGAAACTTTTAAAACAGACTGGTGGACCCATCTCCAGAGTTTCTAACTAAGTCTAGGCTGAGGCCTAATAATTAGCACTAACAGGCTCCCAGGTAAAGTGATGCTGCAGGCTTGGGGACCACAAAAAACTTTCTTGATTGAAGAAACATATTAATGAAGATAATTTAACAATTAAATTAGTTTCAAATTTATTTTCACGCAGTCTTAAAAAAACAACAACCCTCAATTGTAAACTCTACAATGATCATTCTGGATGTCATGTTACTGTATAAAGTGAGGGAAGGATTTCATAGTTCTCTCTGTTTCCAAACCCTGGCTGGACTGTCAGGGAAGGTCCCGATGGGCCTGACTCTACCAAGACTCAGTCTTTCAGTGAAACCTGACAGCTGATCCAACAAATGAAGAAGGAACTTTTAATGAGAAATCGCAGAAGTGTGCAGGTTGAATTTACTCACCCTTTTCCCTACTTGTCACAAACTAAGGGTCATTTATTGATAAATTAAAATGAGAAATTAGCAATTATTCTGAAAATAGGTTAACATTTGCCTAGATCCCCCAACTGAAAAGATGACACATCACTTAGAAAACAGACATTTGAAAGGTGTTGTAAGAAGGCTTACAGAATAAATTTCATATATTCCTTTTCGTCCTTCATCACATTCACGGCGAACCCAATGTCTATTGAGGTAGGCACAAATTCCATTCAGAACTTTGCTGGAAAACCGGTAATCTTCCCACTGCTGCGTGTAGAACTTCAGTACACTCTCATCCATCAAGTCTTCTCCGTCCTGAAAACAAGGGAACTACAGCTTTAAAAGTGACTACTGTGTCGCACACGATAAAAGCTTACTAAAACCAACCATTGTTTTAAAACACATTGATGGATATGGCTCTAGATGGGTTCTTTAAATTATTCTGTTTACAAAAACAGGCTCATTAATTTGAATTCTCACAAGGATATGGCTCATGAGGACTAAAGAGAGGATTTTATTAAAAATTATTTCATTTCAAATTGGCCCTTTTCTCATTGTTAAATATATATACACACTCATAAAAAGAACACTCAATTTTAATTCTTTTTTGTTAGCAAACCAGAATTCACCTCAAAATCATTCTTTTGATATATTTTCTCTGTTAGAAAATGAACATGTCCTATTCATTAGATCATGGGCCAATACCATTTATTTTTTAACTCATTTTCCTTCTTCATGAGGTTTATTTAAAACTTTTAAGTATTTAAAGCTTTTTTTTTTTTACATTTTTATAGTAAGTATAATTTGTTAACAAGACTTCATGAGGAAACTACATTAACCAAAATCATTTTTTACTGAGTTATAACTTAAATCACAAATTTTTATTTGAAGAAAACTTTGGAATTGTTTCTTAGGTATTAATAACATCTACAGAGTACTATCCCTTAGCACTGAGCATGAAATGGCAGAATCACAGAGAAGTGCTGTACAGGAGACACAAGAGGTGGAGCCAGAGGGAGGGATCCTGCGTGAATGTGACAGGAACGAAGGGCTTGGGTGAGCCCAGTAACTGCTCTCCAGACTCAGGGTCCTCATGTAAAACAGCCCCACACTGCATGTTCCACAGCAATCCAGCAGCCCTATGAAAACCTGATCATATTGTCATACAACCACACTTCTGTTCATTTAAATTTATATAATAAGAAATCAAATGTAAAGTTAATATGACCTTCTAAAAAAGACAAAAATCTCACTGATAATATGGCTATAAATACTTTATGCAACACAAAATACGTCCTTTACTGTAATATTAAAGAATAATTTCAGTATTCACTTTACAGTGTTGTTAATAAAAACGAGGACACAGTAGCTTCAGTAAGACGACATTAGATATACAGTTTAGGAAACATGAAAAGGATATTATCTAAGTCATAACCGGTGGTCAATCGACTACAGTCTGTTAGAATGTTTAAAATTTCCAATTAGCTTGTAAAATATATTAAAAAAACAAAACAATTTTGGAGTATGCTGAAATTTTTGCCTATTATCTGTGTAAATGAAAAAAATCTTTAAAAATATATACACAGAACGCCAATTCCCAGGGTAAAGAGTAGAGATGTCTTCACTCACTCTATGTAATACGTGTAGCACCAGATGCAGGAGCCACTGGCCCATCCTGTGGCTGGATGGAAGGCATCACACTGCCTTTGCTACAGAGGATGGAGACTGGGGAAGAAAAAGGCAGAAGATGAAGGGGAAAAACTCCATCGCTGCCCAAGCAAGAGGCTCAGAGCAAGAGGAACCAACACTTGAAGGCAATGGTGTTCTAGTGAAACCCATCCTATCCAAGGGCATAATTTCATTGTAGCTCAGTTATACACCACGTGATCGTATGTAAAAGGCAAGATTCACATAGGAAAATTGTGGTTACTAAAGGTTGGAAAACCTCACGATCACACGTACATTCTGACTCATTGGGTTCCAAGTACAATATAGGTCATTCGAATTCATAATTATATGCTTTAAATTAAACAGTTCATTAATTTCTAACAACCAAACCACAAAATGGTTAGCAATTTAAGGAAAGAGTATTATTAAGGTGTAAGGGTATCAAAAATCTAATTTAACAAATTAAAAAAACACCCTCACGCAAACTCAACGATGAAAACAATGAACAAATGACAGTGAAAGATTTAGCACTGAAATTAGATTTATTATTTCACTATCTTTTTAATGTTCTATTAGAAATGCTTAATATATATGTCAAACATCTTACCTTAAGAAGATTTGTCAAGTAATTCTTCAAAAATTCTTTAAGTCGTTTGTATAATTCCAAGCCAACAAATTGCGCTCCTCCAGGCGTCTGCCCCTTTTTCGATTTAGAAGGAGGGACGCCAGCCCCTCGCGTTTGGTTTGACTGGTGAACACTCGTGCAGTAGTTATAAACATGACTTGGACAAAAGTTAAGGAAATCAAGATGCACCCTCAATATGAACAATGTTCAATATGAATGTATTTTTTCTTTTTTTTAAAATATATTTTATTGATTTTTTACAGAGAGGAAGGGAGAGAGAGTTAGAAACATCGATGAGACAGACACATCGATCAGCTGCCTCTCGCACACCCCTTACTGGGGTTGTGCCCGCAACCAAGGTACATGCCCCTTGACTGGAATCGAACCTGGGACCTTTCAATCTGCAGGCTGACGCTCTATCCATTGAGCCAAACTAGTTTCTGCTGAATGTATTTTCTTATGAAATATCTCAGTATCATTACATTTCCAATGTAGCAACAAAGCTTATTTAATGAAATCTAGAGTGAAGAGATCCCATTATTCACATCCCAATCAAGGTAAAAGCAAACCAGCTCCATAAGTTTGTCTGCAAGCCTTGCAAGCAGCCAACCCAGGAGAAGGAGGGAAAGTCCAGGAGGAAGGGCGCCAAGAAAACACTGGACCTTCTAGATTATTTAATGAGAATCTCTCTAGGAAAACTGTCCCAAGTGTATGCAAAGGCAACAGGTACAAAGGAAAGGTCACAATTATCTACTTCAATAAAAACAAAAAGGTAATAATCACATTCTATTATAATGCTTAGCTATATTTCCAGAAACATACATTAAAAATATAGAAATAACCAAAACTTAGCACTATCCTATATAATAAAAGGCTAATATAATAGATCGAACTGCAGAACAATTGAACAACCAGCCACTATGATGTGCACTGACCACCAGGGGGCACATGTGGTACATGGTGGGTGTCAACAGCAGGCGGCAGAGCGCAGAACATGGAGGGCTTCAGCTGCAGTGGAGCAGGTGAGTGGGGGAGCCAGACCAAGGCGGAGTGCTGGCGCTTTCACTGGGCGAGCCTCTGGTGGTTACTGAATATTCATTTCTCCTGTGTGCCGTGGTCCCACCAGGTGCTGCACCTGCTACTGGTGCTGGCCCTAATCGTAACCGCTACCGGCGCCTGGCAGCCTCAGGAATAAAACTATAAGCAAACAGGAAACTGGGGGCTGTGGTGGGAGGGGCTGGGTGGGTGTGTAGAGGATGGGCTGAGACCAGCCCCTGTGCCCACCGCAGCCTCGCAGCCCACAGTTCCTTTCAAAATGCATGAATTCACGTTCTGGGCTCCTAGTCTATATATATAAAACCCTAAGTGACAGGTAGGCTGACCAGTTGCTATGACATGCACTGACCACCAGGGGGCAGTCGCTCAACGTAAGAGCTGCTCCCTGGTAGTCAGTGCACTCCCACAGCAGGAGTGATACTCAGCCGACTGACAGCGCCAGAAGCAGAGCTCAGAGCTCAGGCACAGCATTGGCCAGGGCTCAGGCTCCTCCCCAGCTGCCTGCCTGCCACTTCCTCAGGGGATGTTGGACTGCACGGGCTGAAACTGGCAGTCTGACATCTCCTGAGGGGTCCCAGATTGCTAGAGGGCTCAGGCCAGGCTGAGGTGCACCAGGCCTCTAGTTTTGTTATAACCTTTAATATTATTTTAATGTATCAGCATGTATTTTACTTGGAAAAAAATTAATAGACACTGATTCTGATAGAAAAATATCAATAAAACAATATTTTGTTATATATATATATTAAATCTTTACTGGTATATTTTACGAACTTATTACATAGAGACATTTCAAGCCAGTGGGTAAAGATAGATTTTTCAGTAATATTACGGCAAGAGAAAATTTTAAAAATAAGCCATATAAAAAATACTAGTATATTATAAACAGACTAAGAAAATATACAGACTGGAAACATAAAACAAAGAAAATACAGAAGAATATTTTTTTGATCTGTTTGGAGAAGGCCAAAATCGTAAATCTGATAATTTGAAAGTATTTTAGTAAAAAATATCTTAAACTTACAAAGAGTTTCTATTTTTAATAAATTAAGATAATTTAAAGCAAAATATATTGTGCTGAAAACAGTTTGGCTCAGTGGATAGAGCATCGGTCTGTGGACTGAAAGGTCCAGATTCGATTCCAATCAAGGGCATGTATATTGGTTGCAGGCACATCCCCAGTAAGGGGTGTGCAAGAGGCAACTGGTCGACGTTTCTCTCTCATGGATACTTCTAGCTCTCTATCCCTCTCCCTTCCTCTCTCTAAAACAATCAATAAAATTTACTAAAAAAAAAAATAATAATAATAAAGCAATATAAAAAGTTAATCTCTATGGAAACATGGGCAGAATATTCCAACAGAAAATCCAAAAGCTAAAAGAAATATGTATTAGTGGCCTCCTCCCCAAATTCCTCAAACTTAGTAATAATAATTTAAAAAAAAAAACTATGCCTTAAAACAATGAATCATTTTGTTAAATGTTTCCAATGCAAAGAGAATCACAGATTTAATACACAATGAAGCTCATGACCCAATTTGGAAAAAAAATCTTACTATTTCCCACTCATCTCATTCCATCCAAACCCCACCTAATGCTTTAAGAAATAAGGTGGTACAGGTTATAACTGATTATTACAAGGTACTGCTCCATAATCCACTCCTCCCTCCACTGCTCCTAGGGGCAAAAATACCCATGATTTGGTGCCTATCATTTCTATGGAAGTTTTTCTATTTTACTATGTAACTATATATGAAATTATTTTGTTTTCAAACTTTAGATTACACAAGTTGTAACTTGCACATTTGCTCCTGTCATTTGCTTCTGTTAAGATGTGACAGCTCCATCTGTATGCAATATATCACATAGTACAGATTTACAACAATTTATCCACTCTCTTGTTGTTAATGATCATTTGGTGGGTTCAATTTTTGGCATGATTCTATTTTCTTTTAAATTTGATTTGCACATTGAGGTTTCTAACCTATCTTCAATACAACTGAATATGATAATGAGCAATGGGTCACACACAGTGTATTATTTGGTCTATCCTTTCCCACTATTATGTATTACTATTTTTAGACTGCCCAATTGTTTAGTCTTCTCTTAAAATAAAATAAAAAAGGCTATTTTAAATATTTTTAATAATTAATTTTTCCAGAGGATTGTCTATTAGTCTTTTTAAAGAAGCTTGTGATTCATTAATTTTAATCACTGTATATTTTTCTTTTTATTTCTTTACATTTGCCCCCCCCCCCTAAATCCTTGCTTTGTTTGTTTAGCATTGCAATTTCTCCACTTTGCTCTTTTTAATAAAAGCTTTGAAAACAGCTTTTTCTCCTCTATAACACTTTGGCTGCAACTCCAGGGGCTGATATGTGTTTTCCATATTAGTTATACATTATTTTTCCATTATTAGTTCTCTTAAGTGATTTAGAACTTTTTAGATTCAAAGGTGTACTTTTTTTTTTTTTTTTACCATAAAAACCCTTTTCATTTTAAAATTAATCAGAAGATGCTATCTTTTTGACAGTTTCTTTGAAATGTGATGAGACTTAAGAGCTAAATATGATTTTCTTTGTGTGTGAAGGCAATATCCATTCTCTGACTGCTAGGACCCATCAGAGAAAGCTGGTCAGTCTGTTTTTCAAATCTTTTATACTGGTCAGGCCAGTGTTGCTCAGTGATTGGGCATTGATCTACAGACCAAGAGGTCATGGTTTGAATCCCAGTCAGGGCATATGCCTGGGGTTGCAGATTCGATCCCCAGTAGTGGGCATGCAGGAGGCAGCTGATACATGATGTTTCTCTCTAGTCCTCTCCTTTCCCTCTCTAAAAATCAATAAAAACATGTTTTAAAAAAATCTTTTATACTGATGGTAATGTCTGTTTATTAAATGTGGTATTGCATATTTTTCATTGAAATCTCCCTATCCAATTATGGACTTAACAATTTCTCTTATAATTCTCTACCACATGTCATTTAAATTTGGAGGCCTTATTAGCAAGTACACAAATGGAAATTATATTCCCAGTGACTTGTTCTTTTTATTAGACATGTATTTACTCCTAACAATAGTGCCTTAGAAAACTATCATATTCAATAGACTTCTCTTCAAATATCTATATCCTAACTCCTTATTTTCAATTTTCATGTCTTAATGTTTTGCTGTGTCTATGCTCACCACCACTGAAAATTCACTTTAAAAAATTTGAGTTAATAATCTCTGATAGACAAGTTTGGTTTTAAGATTTTATTGTTTTATATTGCTAATTGTGTTTTAATAGTTACCATATTTTGTGTTTTCTAATTTAATTTTTTTTTCTTTTTAAAAAAAAATATATTTTATTGATTTTTTACAGAGAGGGAGGGAGAGGGATAGTTAGAAACATCAATGAGAGAGAATCATTGATCAGCTGCCTTTTGCACACCCCGTACTGGGGATGTGCCCGCAACCAAGGTACATGCCCTTGACTGGAATCAAACCCAGGATCTTTTGATCCACAGGCCGAAGCTCTATCCACTGAGCCAAACTGGTTTCAGCTAATTATTTTTCTTTATGCTTGTTTTCTCCCTTTGCACTTTCTTATGGGTCAATATTCTGTGTTACACTATAGTTCATTATGTTGGCATTACACACTTTACTTGTATTCATATAATCACCTTAAAATCTGGTGTGCCTATTTTGCTTTTCATCAATTCTGATAAATTCTTGGGTTATCTTCTCTGAAGCCCTCCGTTCCATCTTCTCCTATCTTTTCTACTACATGTATGTTGGCCACCTTCCTTCGCTATCTCATTTTATTTCTTCAGTTATTCACCATCACTTTCTCTCTTTATTCAAACTTCCTAATTTTCCTGAATCTACCATCTGATTAAGTGATTCTCTTAGCTGTGTCACATTTGCTAGTTATTGTTAAAGATTTTATTTTACATCTGTACAATTTCCTGGTCCTTTTAAAAATCTTATTCTCCATAGTGTATTGTTCTGCACATTTCTGATCCTGCACATCACTAATTGTCTCTAATATACTTAGGGGCGCTTATTCTCTAAAGTTCCTTTTGTTGCAGTTCCTGAGGTTCCAGTTCTGTTCATTCTAT